ACATTTTCGACGTGTCAAGTTTTTTATCAAGTTGGTACACTTTGCGAAAGCTTGATTATGAGCACTATCAAAGAGATCGACATGATCTTTCAATGTCTTTTTCTGCTTCCAATTCCTAATGCCGGTCTTAGTGAATATATATACACCCCCTTGACCCCCTCTATCCGGTTTGAACAAGTGACAATACAAAAAATACGTTGCATCCTTTTCTACATTGTACTCCAACCAATCAAATTCAGTGAACCATTCTTTTCGAAAACACCTATTATGACTTCCCGTCTATATTGTTGGAAAGTCATGTCCATGTGATTGACAATGACCTTTCTTTAAGTATGGCATCATAACATCATCTCCGATATAATATGACTCAATAGGGGGTGTTTCCCTATATCAGATACAAGATCATCCAAATTGAATTGAGCCCGAGACTTTTTCGTGTTATTTAACACATCAGATGCTCGAGTAGAAGTAATGACATGGCTGGATGAACCACTAGAACTGAAAGAAACAGGTATGGACTTCCATTTTAGTTGAAAAAATCGTTCTATAATCTACAGTTACAAGTGTGCAACATAAATTAATGAACTTATTTATCATAATCTCATACAACTAATTTCTCATAATCTCATTTCAAATTTATGATATTGATACAACTCATTTTTCATTTCAAATCAAAATCAAAATCAGTAAACTGAAAGCGAAAAGTACCAACATTCACAAATCAAATTCCAAATCCCCCAATTCCAATTCCAAATTCAATTCCAAATCCAATTTTAATTTCCCTCAAATTCCAAATCCAATTCCAAATTCAATTTTAATTCCAAATCCAATTTTAACCCCAATTCCAAATTTCCAATTCTCCCAATTCCAATTCATAAATCATACATGAAACAACATTGAAAATTATCATAATTCATGATTTCATAACTTAAAAATAGAAATTAATACCAAAAAAACAAACACAAAATTAATATAACAGACTCATGGGCACGGTGTTGCAAAGATAGGAAGTTAGGAAGCTGCAACCGTTCACAGGCAGGACTGGCGTCTGGTGGTCGGTGGTGGTCACGATTCATCGGCAGGCGGACCGCGGTTGGGAAAAGACGGCCGGATAGTTATTGGCAGAAATTGAAATCGAAGGAAAGAATTGAGTTTCCAATTTTTGGTTTCATTGAATGGGGGGAAAAAATGTTGGGTTGACCCTATATATAATTGAGGATTGGGCCGCCAAACAAATGACCCAACCAAATTACAAAATAATAAAAAAAGGATCGTCCATCTTCAGATGACCCAATTACCAAAAAAAAAAAAAGGATGGGCTCGGCCGCAACGGCCCAAAAAAAAAGCACGAGGAAGAGGATGAACCAGAAGGTAGAAGTCCAGAAAATCAGGCCGGTGCAGTTTCCCTCTTTTTCCCATAATTGTTCCGGCGGAGCCCAGTACGCGCGGCCGCTCCCCCTGCTAGGTGTTGGGTCTGCCGCTGATCATGTTGTTTTACTCTTAGAAATGGGGATAATTCCGCTCATTTTTTCGCTTTCAATGCATATGTGAGTGTTAACTCAATTAGTTGGACTTGTTGTATTCTCATTTTCTTAACTCCTATCATTTGGTCGAGCATGTAAATGTAAACAATCGATCAATTCATCTTAAAAATTTATTTATTAACGTTTTTTTATGAATTATACTCTCGTTTTAGCCTCAATTCAATTCGATTAGTCCTTTTTGTTTCTTGAGACAAACTCGAGTCTGATTTTCAAAACATACATTTTGTCCAAGTACTAGTGAGAAGTACGTGTCTTGTACGTGCCATAATGTAGTTGACTACGTAATAGCATAAGTATTAAAAAAAATATTTATATCAAACATTAGTTATATAAAATTTTCTTATAAATTGCTAAATGTTTCGAGCCAACATTAAATGTGGAGATGAAAAAATTCACATCCTCAGTTATCGAAGCCATCGAGGCTCACCTACCACCACACCCTCCAGTTATTGAACAATGTCTTCTTACGAATCTCCGA